CTGTACAAATAGGTTATAATAAATTACTAACGTAAAATAAAATATTAATACATGGTTACAACGTACTATTATTTATAACGTATCATAATAAAAATATAAAAAATATATAGATGTCAGTTTTAGTTCTTACGTCATTTTGTCGTTCGTTGAAATGCAGAAGAGAATAGTGTTCTTTGAATTTTAAATTTGCAAACGTGAATAAGTGGATCGATACATTGCACGTAGGTGTACTGTATACATATATACATAATTGTCTATATATATTGTTGATCTTACAATGCTGTCATTGGTTGCAATGTTGCCTTTTTTCTTTTACTTATTACTCATTCGTAGTCCGGTAGTCTGTATGTGCCTCGACAACTACGGATGACGTGATGGGAAAGTGGGTGCGTCTCGCTATTGACTAGCCGCTCGTTGTCCGTATAGGAACTACATATCTGGATTTAACGAAAATATTTTCGTTACACAATTTTGTTCAATTCTATTTAGGGTAAGTGTATTCCCTTCAAATAATTTAAAGTATTAAGAAAAACTAATAACATTCCACACGTATTAGAACAAAGTAAGTCTAAAAATGTTACACTAATCGTGAACAGTCGATTGATTAATAAATATTGCAATAATTTCAGGTTCCCGATTAAATAAATAATCATGTCGCAACAACAGTATTATCCTTTCAAAGTAAGTCCATTGATATTAACATTTAGAATTTGAGTAAAATTTATTTTTACATGGCTATAAACAGTTCGATCTATTTCTGATGAAGTATCGATCAATCGTATTTATATCGCTGCGTTGTTCGAACAAAAATTTTGATTAATTTAATTTTTTTTTAAATAATAAAATCAATTTCAGTTTTAGTAAGTAATATCAGTTGGTAACTTACACTTTTCATTTATAATATTAGTGGATTATCTTATATAAAGCTAAAATTAATTTATAACTTATATGTTATTTAGAACAAATATTATAATATATTAGGCATGTAATATAGAACATGTATTTTCTTCTTTTGAACAGTGTACTCCTACTGTCTACCCTGCTGATCCATTTGATGCAAATGCGGATGCAGCATTATTGCGTAAAGCAATGAAAGGTTTTGGCACCGATGAGAAAACTATTATCGATGTACTTACAAAGAGAGGCATCGTCCAGCGTTTGGAAATTGCTGAAGCATATAAAACATTATATGGAAAAGATCTGATTAGTGATTTAAAGAGCGAACTTACAGGAAAATTAGAAGATGTTATAATTGCTCTTATGACACCATTACCTCATTATTATGCTAAGGAATTGCATGATGCAGTTAGTGGATTAGGAACGGATGAAGAAGCGATTGTAGAAATTTTATGCACTCTAAGTAATTATGGTATTCGCACAATTGCAGCATTTTATGAAAATTGTAAGTACCTTAATCAATCCAATGATTAATTTCTAATGTTCCGTGCATAAATTCCATTCATAAAAATATTGTACTTTAACAGTATATGGTAAAACTCTTGAGAGTGACTTGAAGGGGGATACTACAGGACATTTTAAAAGATTGCTGGTATCACTTGTTCAGGCAAACAGAGATGAAAATCAGGGAATAGATCAAGCTCAAGCTACAGCTGATGCACAAGTACTTTATGAAGCTGGTATGTTTGCAAAACTATAAAACACTCATTTCATTTGAAAAAGCAAAGTAGGAATTGATAAATTTTGTGTATAATTTATATACATCTAAATTTTAAATAATTTGATTATCATCAAATAATTAAATTATTATTTGTTTACATTTTAGGTGAAAAACAGTGGGGAACAGATGAATCTCAATTCAATGCTATTTTAGTATCTCGTAGTTATCAACAGTTGAGACAAACTTTTATTGAATATGAAAAAATATCTGGACATGATATAGAAGTTGCTATAAAAAAGGAATTCTCTGGAAATCTTGAGAAATGTCTCCTTGGAATAGGTAAGCCTTCTCCTAAAAATTTATTGTGAATTTATATACTCCTTCTATAATATCTTTTTAAACCTGTTTATGTTCTAGTTAAATGTGTAAAATCAAAAGTGGGTTTCTTTGCTGAAAGATTATATGCTAGTATGCATGGCATAGGTACAAAGGATCGAACACTTATTCGTATTATTGTTTCCCGGAGTGAAATTGATCTGGGTGATATTAAGAAAGCTTTTGAAGAGCGGTTTGGAAAATCATTAGAAAGTTGGGTTG